AAGAAAAACAGAAAAAACAGCTATTGACAGGCTGCTGTGGACCCAACAATGCAATTGTCCATCTCAATACTAATTAGACCATCAACTGAACCAACTCTTCCATTAATATTCAATTAGCCAGTACCACTTAAAGTTTAGATTACAGAGCTGGCTTCTGTGGCCAGCCCTGTGCAAGATTTTATACCAGTCACATCACCATCAGAAGGCATCATTGAATAGTTTTTCACAGTCCAAGTACCAGCTTGGAAGCCAACTGATTGCTAGGGCAGATCTCCCTGTTGCTAGGGTCATCCACCTCCCAATCAAAAAGGATCTCTGGATTCCATGCTCTTGGACTTCTGAGTTTCAAGTCAGAAATAGCATGCCTCTAGTTTACACTAGAGTTCCAGATGAAGATCCCAAATGCCACTTTCAGATTGAGATAGGCATTTGAGCTGGTACCTCCATGGCAATGCATTGAGAAGAGATGCACTCACGAATGGAGGGCAGAGACTGGACATTTATATAACTGTCCTTGTTATCCCAAACTGGTATCTCCTAATTGGTACCAACATGCACTGTCGGCTGTAACTTCTCAGCCTCCAGCAAACCAGGCGACATTCCTGGCTTCTCATATTGTTCTTCTGCCATGGTTGCTACAACTCCTCTCCCCACCCCAGTACCTTCAATGTAACTCTTAATAGTGACTTCAGTCACATTGGCAGTTTGTCCACACTGCTCCACGGGAAGCAGAAGTTGTGCTATCATCCATCCAGCTGCCCAAATGCTACTCTTGGGCTTGTGCTCAGCTATTGCTTGGACTACTTCATTGCTAGAGGTGCCTCAGGTGTCTATATAAACTACCAATTTACACTCTGCTTCCAGGAGTGCTTCCAGAGTCAGGGATAGATGATTACTACTTAGATTCAACATTCTGTTCTTCCCTGGTGCTATCTATGAAATCACCAAATGCAGCAGTGAGCAATCTGGATCCAGCTTCTTTGTAAGATGTGACTGTTTTTCAGGGTAGGTGCTCTGTAGAGTACAGTACTTTGGCCTGGAAGAATGGCAACCAGTTGCAGGGATGAAAGACCCTATCTTTGGCGTGGTGCACTTAGTGTCAATTCCTGTTACAACCCTAGTATCACTGACCTTGCTGCAAGCTGTCCAGCAGTCCTGGAAAGCTCCTTTCTCTATGGCTTCAATGATGAAAATGTATGCTTGTATGACTTGTATGCCACCCTATTAGCCATTGGCTCTCTGGGTGACTCACAACATATTTAACAGCATTTTAACAACAATTAAAATAGTACAATTCATTCATTTTCAATATGCAGAAATAAAAAATAAAGAAAAATAAAGCAATTGCAGAATATATATTGGGTGCAAGAGAAAGGAGCTAGTTTTCTGTTCATGCACCTGGCTCCTAATTTTCCTGTACTGGAACTTCCACAGGAGAATTCATGAAAAGTTTACTGTTCTTTTGTGGATAAAGAAAGCAGACAGCTGAATGACAGAGATCTCCAGGTTAAGCCTTCCATGGTGCTGGATTTGTGCATCTGCAATTAGGAGCTGGAAATACTGTGCTATCAACTCTTGTGGGGAAAAAAAAGTGGAAGCGGTCTATGATCACCTCCTGGAGGAGAAGGAAAACTTGCTGGGGGGGGGGGATGGTTTCCGAAGTGCAAATAAACATTTGCAGACATTAGGTGGGCTGAGGATCCATGGTAATTGTTGGATCCTTTTGGATTTGTTTGACTCAAAAACAGAGAAGGCTATGGACTCCTTGCAGAAAGTGAAAATACTGTTGGCATATGGGAAAAGGAACACAGTTAGAGTAGTGGGTGTCATCCATTGTCCTTACAGTAAGCCTGGTACCTGGATGGTCAATTATTTTATCAGCATTACTACCAAAGTATCAGTATTCCCCTTCTAGCTTTTGTAGCACATGCCATCTTTGACTACCCCCCACTTCTTGTGCTACCTTTGGAACTTGCCTGGAGCCTTTTCTATCAGCTTGGGCATTTATCATGTTGGACCTTTCCAAGGGTTACAGGATAGAATTCAGCAATGTTCCACCTGTTGGCTTTATCAAAAATTATGGCACTTTTGTTGTCAGTGCAGGCAGAAGTATAGACACCCTTAATGAAGCATTTGGGTTTGTTGGGTCTCAACATTTCAACATCATGATGATTTCAATATTTATTATTTCATTATTCCTGTGTATCAGGGAGATTAATGCTTCTGTCTCCCACAAGTAATTCCAAAAGGTCATGTTGATATCTGTTCCGCTGCTCTTATGGAAAGAGAATTGATCGACATCCATTGATCTAGAAGTAAGCATCTCCCAATTGCCATTGGTCAGAAACACCAATGCTTCCTCCATTTTGCTACTGGGCCTGATGTCTACCAGTTTCAAGTGTTGTCTTTTGGGCTTCCTACTATACCAAGGGCATTCAAGTGTATGGCTTCAATGGGAACTTGGCTTTATGTCTTAAGGTATGTCATTGTACCCCTGCATTGATGGCAGGCTGGTGGTAGCTTCTACAAGGAAGGGAATCATGGACACTTCTTGATTATGGACACTCCTTTTGTGAGATGTAGAGAAAATTTCACTTGAAGCCAACACAGAAAATCTAACCAATAAAGATGGTTTCAAATTCTACAGTGGGCCAAAGATTCCTTCCTCTGGAACACTAACATGCAGGAAAGTTATCCACTCAGAAGTTTACTTGCACTATATTGATCCAGGCAGTTACTGAAACTGATGGTAGCTACTACCATACCCATGCCTTTCCACACTGAGGATGAGAGTGTTCCAGATTTGTTTATCTAGTTGTTCAGCCACCACTGGAATGTCCATGGTAGCTGTTAATTTGTACAATGTGAAGTGATGAATACATTGGTATGGTAGATGCACCAACTAGGTGCAAGACTAGTTGGTGCATCTAGGCTTTTCCAGCCTTCCCTAACTGGAATCTTTAGCACAGGTTTGTCTCAGTTGGGGTGGGAAGCTCACTGTGGCCTTTTGGGGATGCAAAAGGTGTCGACCAAAATGGACCTCATGCATCACATCAATTTATTTGAGTTATTGACAGTCAAGAAGGCCCTAGAGGCTTTCAAGACCAATCTCAAGAGGTCACTTTGTGTCAGGCTCAGTCTCCTGACACCTCTGGCAAGTTGACACAAATCACTTTATAAAACGGACCATTTACTGCAGAAGATCAAGTTACACAGAACAGCATTCTAGAGTTTCTGGCCAAGCTACAGCACTCATACTCTGAAATAAAACAAATAGCTTCTATGACAGCTGTCAGCAAATTATTTGGTTCAAGAAACTTTCAGGGCAGGGTTTTTTGCATCCACTCTCTAAGCAGTTTATTCCAGTTGTACAGAATCTCGCCGGTCATTCTGTAGGCATTGAACACCAAGCCATTCAAACACCATACAACCACAGATTTCTTTCTCATACTTTCAGACATTGCCTTCCTGGTGGCTATTTCATCAGCTCACCCATTCAGTGAATTGTGTGAGTTGCATCTAGGCTGACTTTATATGACTTTGCATCTCAACAAGATGGTGCTCAGTCCCAGAACCATGTACTTTGCAAGATGGTGTCTGAATTCCATTTGAATCGGTATCATTCTACAAACGTTCTTTCCATTTAATTCTGCTCTGTTTGACATCTTTATACCTCGAGCGTCTGAAGGACATTGGCTTTCTACAAAACAGGCACTGAGCCTTGCATCACTCCTCTCACTTTTTTGTTTTCTGTTTTATGGTGTCAAGGACTACCAGTGACATTGCAGAGATTGTAGTTCACACTATTAAGTTCTTGTTTGAACTTGCTGACCTAAATGTTGCTGGTCAAATCTATGTTTGCTTGACTTATGCCATGGCTATATTAGAGGTGCTTGGTCAGGGAGCTCTGCAGAGCAGACCCTAAGTCCAGACCTTCATCAGCCATTACAGACTTGATGTGCAAGACAATCTTACATCAGGACACCAGCCCACCACCAGTAAGTTAGCTTGCCTACATGTATGATGTACAGAGAGCATGAAGAAGAAAGGCAGGTTGCTTACCTGTAGCTGCAGTTCTGAGTGGCCGTCTTGCAAAACCCACCCCACAATCTTAAGTTCATTGTAGATAATAGTGTCTCATGTGACTAAAGCTCTGCTCAGTTCTAGAGCTGTAACAGGCAATCTCAAAGAACTGAGGAAATAGGTGGGAAGCTGCTGAGGGTGTGTGCAGTCAAACATTCTCATACAAGTGTGTAAATGCACAGGTAGCCACTTGAAGAGTTACAGTTACAAGTAAGCGGCTTGTTGTTTAATGCAGAATGTTCCAGTTCACATAAGTACAATAATACAGGTGTGTGTGTATGTATAGAATTGGAAGTGTTCTGCTAAGAAGTTTAATTAAAAGGAATGGAAATGTTTCCATTTCACAGAGTTACTTGCTTCAGCAGGGAAAACATTAAGTTTTAATATCATAGGTGATATTTAAAATGAGTGTTTATATTTTGTTTAAGATGGATTGTGTGACACTGTATGCCAGCGATCAATCTGAGGGATGCCTTACATATATGACGATATTCAAGTGGATATAACTGCTAAAGCAAACTACATTGCATTAGAATAACTACGCTGACATAACACCAAAAGCATTGGGGGTCTCCCCACTTTCCCCAGGAATGGCCTGTCAACTACTGCTATTGAGTTTGCGCTATGCTAGCACAATGTAATTTTCCTTTAGCAGTTGTGCCCCACTGAATGCTGCCCATGCACACTACAGACTCCATTCTACACTGATTGGAGTAATAGAGTAATCATGCAACCATAGGGATTTTAAATTCATCTTACTTCCAAGAAGATGGTGAATAATAAGTGGCTTATGTTTTCGGAAAGCAAAGTTCATCAGGTGCTTCTAAAGAAAACAAAGAGTTGGCCAAATGTAATGTTAGTGTTGAGTGTTCAAGGATACTAAAAATATTCTTAACAGAAGTTTGTGATTTTTGCAGGTAATAGCTCTAGCAGATGCAGCTGAAGAAAACCAAGCCAAATTGTTCCAAGCATTCACAAAGTTAAAAAGTGTCACCCAGCTGGTAATTCTGCTGGTTAGCCTGTGGCAGAAACTGAGTGCTGACCAAGTTGCTATTCTGGAAGCTACATTTTTGCCACTGACACAGGATACTCAAGAAATGGTAAGAATCTGTTGCATTTACTGAAAATCTGGAAAAATAGTTAGCCTGTAATTATCAAGGGCTTCCCATGTTCTGTTGTAGATGAGCATGTGTTCAATACAATTTTCTTTTCAATGAACTTTCTTTTGTTGAAGCCAGGGAGAATCAGGGTTTTCCGAATATCTTATTGAGCTGTACTGAATATTATTCATGTTGCTAGCATACAAATAATCCCACAAGAAAGTCCATCTGGAATGAACTAACTCCCTGAAATTCTGGAGACCACAGCTAGCCAGTGTCAAAAATAGATAGACCAATGGTCTGATTCAGCCCATAGCAACTTCATATATTCTGATTTTTCTAAGTGTTCTTGTATCAAGGGTGGACATAACATTAAGGAAAGGATATCAGGCTCCTTCACGTGGCAGATTTGGGCCACTATGAAAGTGCAGCCAATTTTCAGAGGAAACCAAATGTATTTCCTTTTTTCAAAAACAATGGTTAAAACAACTAAGAAACACAGCTTGCTTCTCTGTCAAAGAAATCCATTCCAGATCTTTCTTTCTTCCTTGCAGCAACTCTCCTTCACAATCCAGCCTATTTCTTTTCCCTTTTAAAGTAAATATTTTCATTAATGAGGCTTTTTTGAGGTGCAAAGGGGGTGGGAAGTGAAAGAGAAGCCATTTGCAAGTGGGAGTAGGGAGTGGAGAAAGTTGAAGATACAGAGAAACAGGCACTAGCTGCTCAATCAATTTAAAAAACAAACCTTTTCTAGTGTAAAAATCTACATGCTGTTTGAATGAAGTGGTATAAGCTGAGAGAAATACGGAAGGAATGTATTCTTAGATAAATTCTGGGGCTTTAAAGTTTCTTTAGTAGCAGCTGTTGCTGAGTTCCAGGAACAGAATAGTTGTTTAAACGGGAAGAAAAATGCTTGAATGGGAAAAGCAGCTATGCACATGGAGAGGGAGAGAAGCCAAAACACAAAACTGAGCAGCCCCATAGAGAGATAGAAAATGGAGTAGCCTCCCCCCACCCCATTGTCACACCAATCCTATCTACAGTTTCCCAGCAAGAGAAGGAAAGGAAAAGGAAGATCTTTCCAATGGGCTTCAGAACTAGAGAACAGATTCTTTCTCTAATTGATTTTTTTGGCAGCCTAATTTAATTGCTGTGCAATACATGCTCCCCTGAGCATTCTTGCTTGCCAAATAGAAAACTGTCTTGCTCCTGTTCTCTTAGGCCTTATCCCAGCCTAGTAGCAGGCACCTAAAGCTGGGTTCAATTCTAAGTATGTTAATTAAAGTTCATGCTGCTAACTAGATAAACCTCTGTCTAGATATATGTCTTGAAAATGGCTGGCAATTTTTGATACTTTCATTCAATAGCTTCGTCCTTTATAATTAGGAAAAATATTTCCAGGCTTGGTTAAACTAAAGATGAAGTGGACCTTCAGAGTATTTTGAAATGAATCTTGGCCTTTTGTGTTATTTCAAGTTTTGCTCCATTAGTTTTACTTTTTGTAGTCATTCCAACAATTTTTGAAGCAAGTTTTGAAAGATATGTACATTCTATTAGCCAATAAAATCTAATGGACTTATTTGGGCACAGCCCTCAATCTGGAAAAAGAGCACAACTTCTGAGATATTGTATATGTACCCATAGATCATGTTCACCTGTGTTTTCTGTGGAATGTGTCTCAATTAACTGTGGTGCTTTGCTACATGTACACACAATAATAAACAGCTCTCAGCTGTTTGAGTTTTCTTTGTCTGTGTTTCTTCTGAAACCTACCTGAACTGCATCTGAAAAAAGCTGTGATTTCTCAGATTTAGAATGGTTAGAATTGTATATCAATAATCTTAATCTGTTTGGCCTTTTTACTGTAATGCTTTGACACATTGCAGGTACAACATGGAAAAATCTGTTTGATACGTTAAGTGTTTACCCATTTGTGGCGTTCAGACATATATATCTCACAATATAGAATATCAAATTCCAGGGAATCAGATATAAATGGTGCTGTGATATGCTAAATTGAAAACCTGAAATTCATGGAAGATTTGAAGTACATGTGTGTATTTCCCCCACAGTATGCTATAGGAATTCTGCACTGAGGTTATTAAAGTGTCACAGAAATCTGAATGTAATTTAAAGAGAAGGGAGGTTTGGTGTCAAGAGGGGGAATGTTTTTGGTATTGCATTGATGTTTTCAGATGAAGCTTCCCACTTGTTTTTCCCAGAAACAATTGAACAGTACAGTACAATAAGCTATGGAGAAATACAGTTCTCTTTAGTCTAATAGATATGTGCCATTTTAAAATAGAAACACAGCTTCTTGTATTTTAGACTTTTGTTAACATTTTAAAAACAAACCTACTTGTTTCAAGTAGTTAAAGTTGGGCTTACCTGAATAGGGATTGCATCCAGTGGTAGCTATACTCTAGTGCAAAGCACATTTACTTATTTAAGGTGGGCCCCCAATTCTCTTTTCCTCTCCCTGCCATTCTACTGCAGCCATCTTTACCATATCACATACTGTTTTGGACTTTTCCCAACTCTCAGAATCAGCTTTTCTGGAGTCATGGAAGACAGTGTGGATAAGTGTGGATTGACAGAAATCAGGTTCTCCAAGTTTTACTCGTACTACTGGATACAATCCTAGGTGTATAAAAATAAAAAGAGCAGCTTGTATTCTTGGTGCCACAGTCAAATTGTGCCAGGGCAAAATTGCTGTTCTAAGAAAACCCTTAAAAAATTGGCCCATATATTTGGAGCATTCCCTTTTTACATGGCATTCTCTATTTTTTTTTTTTTGCTAAGTAAGCCATAACCCGTAGCTCTTAAATTAACATCAGACTGATCCTATAGTAATATCTGTCACTTGCAATTTTTTAAAAAACAGGTCTCTTTATTGTCAAAGTCTCCTTTTGCTTGTACAAGAGGAAGACAGATGTACGTTGAGGTGATATAGTGTTTTCCGACTAATGTTTCTGTGGCCTTTTAGCAGCCTTTTAACAGATCAAACGTAGGGAAATAATTCTGAATATGTTAACATAATGTTTGAGATATGGAATGTGTTTGCAATAGCAAAATCTGTTTTTTTAGGGAAGATAATTTACGCAGCTTATTTAAAGGGTTCAAAAGGTTTATGCAGCATGTTAGTTTTGATATAGCATGTGCCTGGCGCCTGGACTGAGTGATGCTTCACCCTCTGGTCACTACAGTTATTAATACTGTCTATGTTTATGGGATGGGAAAATTTAAAAAAAATCTAATACTAACATATATTTTATGACTGGTAAAATCCCTGATAAACATAATGTCTATAAGAACTCAATCAAATAATAAATATTTGTGTAGTTTATATTATAGTGGTGATGATGTCATTAAGTCTCTCTCTTTGTTTTATCTCTGTAGTATAATCTGCAATGTTATTTATTACATTTAATTTGAATAAAGATCATGTGGGGGTGCATAAAGATCAATAATACGGCTTGTATTTAAATTGAGACTAGCTTTATAAACTTAGTTTTACTAGTAACGGTTAGCAAATGTTTATACTTTAGTATTATCTATAGTCTTTGTCCCAGTTCATTAAAGACACAAACATATCCATGTTCAGGCAGAAAAAAGCTCTACAACTGCCAGCATTGTAGGATGATGCATAGGATTGTGTCATACGAAGCCCAAAGATCCTAACAGAACAAAGGTTTCACAACTTCTGCTTCTATCAAAATTTCTGGGGCTGCCCTTAACTAAAAAAAAAAAAAATTAAGGAGAATGATAATATACCTCCTGTGCAATGTGTTGTTTGACTTTCAAACATATACATTGGTGTATAATTTGCACGACTGGAGCACTATTATAGGAGTAGTTATTTTATTACCATTGTATTTCTTCAAGCATAATGTTTTTGTCTATCTTGCCCACAATCCATCCCAAGACGTTTGTAGGGGATGGGATAGAAAAGCTTTTAATAAATTAATAAATAATCCATATCAAGATAATTATTTATTTGCATTCCTTAAGTAAAGAATTTCAGTGTATTTGGTCTATAGATTGCAGGGGAAACAGATAAACTGGCAAACATTCTATTTATCAGTCAAATTAGTGAGGTAGTTCTTAAGTGATGGAGAAATCTCTCTTTGTTACATAGAGAAGTCAGTTTATATCCACAGTCAGTTATCTTCTTTGACCTTTCATGCTGTTAATCTGATGAAGAAACTTTGTTTAAAAGCTTAAAAGTGACCCAAAGTTGCAAGGACCTCTGGTTCTTTCTGCTTAAACATCACAGCAGACCATTAGAGACAGGAGTCTCTGTTTACCACAGACAAATCAATATTCCGTTTATTGTTGTTCACAAAACTTGCCCTAATAACAGAGCCAGACACATTTGGATAACTATTTGGAAACCATGTTCCTACCTTTAAGCCAAATAACTTTTTTAAAGGTTCATCTGTTTCATTTCACAGCATTTCAGGGTACAGAATTTCAGGGCAATATTTTTGACTGTCAGAAGAAACACACTTTTTGCTATATTACATAGAATGAAATTATAGAAGAGAACTTCCACATGTTTCAGCCATATAATGAAAATCTTAATTTTTATTTTGGGAGGAAAATAGAATTAGATATACCTGTCATCCAGTCTGGGGAATTTTGGAATATATTCTGAAATACCTTATGACAAAAGAAGCCTTCCTTTGCATTTCATAAGTTATTCATGAACACTGTTTTTCTTTGAACTATTTATTAGTAATAGCTTTTATTTTTTTTTGTAAAATATGTAGGAAAAGTGAACTTTTATTATGGTCTCTGTGTCTGTGTGCCTATGTTTTATTACCACTAAGGCTGAATTTAGACGCTTAAAAATCTCTTTTGGTTGGAGTAAGCAGTTAAGCATCAACAAAAAGAAAGCAAAAGTAGTTTCAAAGTTGTATGTACTAATATATATGTAAATTCAGAAAGAATTGAAATTGAAAGATCCCCAAATGAAATAAATCCTTCATTTACCATCA